CCTCATTTTTCTGTAAGAAAATTTTCATCCAAGTTAGAAGCCTCCTTGTCACTCTTCCAATATGTTCCAGTTTCTAGAACATCTTATGTGGAACTCTGTCAAAAGCCTTTTAAGGTCCAGATAATTTCATTTTCATAGTTTTAGCTTGTTGCTTTAAAATTGCACTGTATCTATTGCTACCCAATCTCCCAATCTTTATGTACCCAATCCGAACATCTTTACCATTGTGATCATTGCTGTCTTCTTATATGTGCTGTCAATCTGCTGTATGGTGTCTATTAATCTTGTTTAAATTACCAATAAAGTTGTCAATGTAATCAATCAGAGCTTTAATATGCCAATGTGCTTTAATATACTTCCTAATCTCTCTCATCTCATTTTTTTCTTGCAATGTATCTTATTTTATTAATTCTGCTAGAATTTACCTACTTAAAATTATCTGTTAGATTAAGGACCTGCCCGAAATGCTGCGCGTACTAGTGGCTTTACAAGATTGTAAATACTATGCCACGTATTCTCACATACCCAATATACCTTCTTGTACATAAACAAATAAATAAATGCAGTCAATCCAACCATCTCTTTCCTATAAAATCTCTGTGCTCTATTATAAACGGCAAATTAATTATACAAGATCTTCCAGATCGAAAAAAATACTGTTTCTGCCCGAAACGCTTTGCGTGTCAGTGGCTTTGTACAAATCCCAATCTTATGTAATCTCACCAACACATTGTACCTTCCTAGGAATAAATTATTATTATATAATTTTTTTCTCCAGGTGTTCTACCCACTTATTTTTAATTAATTTTTCCAATATTTTTTTGACTACAGTATTACACTTGTGAATGATAAGGGTCTATAACTGATGGGGGGGGGGGAGGGGGGGGGGGTCTCTTCCCTGCTGCCATTTTTATAGATTGGAACAATGTTAGCATTTTTTTACACGTCTGCTAGGACAGGCGAGGAGTCACAATAACGTGGCTGAAGTATGTTGACCAGACCACACACTAGAAGGTGAAGGGACGACGACGTTTCGGTCCGTCCTGGACCATTCTCAAGTCGACGGTGACTTGAGAATGGTCACGTCGTCGTCCCTTCACCTTCTAGTCTGTGGTCTGGTCAACATCTGCTAGGACTCCTGTACACAAGGATCTCTTGAGAGATGGTTATCTTGATATGATTTCGGGGCTTTAGTGTCCCCGCGGCCTGGTCCTCGACCAGGCCTCCACCCCAAGGAAGCAGCCTGTGACAGCTGACTAACACCCAGGTACCTATTTTACTGCTAGGTAATAGGGGCATATGGTGAAAGAAACTCTGCCCATTGTTTCTCGCCGGCACCCGGGATCAAACCCGGGACCACAGGATCACAAGTCCAGTGTGCTGTCCGCTCGGCCGACCGGGATGCCTGAAAAATCAGTTTAAGTGGAATGCCGAGCTCAGGTGTGCATTCTCTCAGAACTCAAGGTGAAACTCCATCTTGGCCAACTGCTTGGATCTTACTTAGCTCCTTGAGCATTTTTCCACTTCGTCTCTAAACACGTCTATGTTGTTCTCTGGAATTCTTAATGTGTCTGGGTGTCTGAAAATTTCATTTTGCAAAAAACACACTTTTTAGCAGTTCGTTTCACACATTTCCTTTTCTCTTTCTGTGAATCTTTCCCATTTTCAACCACGGAATATTATCCATTACCTGCAATTTGCTTTTGATGAATTTATCAGTGCCAGAGTAGCCAGACATAAGAGCCTCCTGGAACCACCAAGAGCCAGACATAAGAGCCTCCTGGAACCACCAAGAGCCTCCTGGAACCACCAAGAGCCAGACACAAGAGCCTCCTGGAACCACCAAGAGCCAGACACAAGAGCCTCCTAGAACCACCAAGAGCCAGACACAAGAGCCTCCTAGAACCACCAAGAGCCAGACATAAGAGTCACCAGGAACCATCAAGTGCCAGACATAAGAGTCACCAGGAACCATCAAGAGCCAGACATAAGAGCCTCCTGGAACCACCAAGAGCCAGACATAAGAGCCTCCAGGAACCACCAAGAGCCAGACATAAGAGCCTCCAGGAACCATCAAGAGCCAGACACAAGAGCCTCCAGGAACCACCAAGAGCCAGACACAAGAGACTCCAGGAACCATCAAGAGCCAGACATAAGAGCCTCCTGGAACCACCAAGAGCCAGACATAAGAGCCTCCAGGAACCACCAAGAGCCAGACATAAGAGCCTCCAGGAACCACCAAGAGCCAGACATAAGAGCCTCCAGGAACCATCAAGAGCCAGACACAAGAGCCTCCAGGAACCACCAAGAGCCAGACACAAGAGCCTCCAGGAAACACCAAGAGCCAGACACAAGAGTCTCCAGGAACCACCAAGAGCCAGACATAAGAGCCTCCAGGAACCATCAAGAGCCAGACACAAGAGCCTCCAGGAACCACCAAGAGCCAGACACAAGAGCCTCCAGGAAACACCAAGAGCCAGACACAAGAGTCTCCAGGAACCACCAAGAGCCAGACATAAGAGCCTCCAGGAACCATCAAGAGCCAGACACAAGAGCCTCCAGGAACCACCAAGAGCCAGACACAAGAGCCTCCAGGAACCACCAAGAGCCAGACACAAGAGTCTCCAGGAACCACCAAGAGCCTCCAGGAACCACCAAGAGCCAGACATAAGAGCCTCCAGGAACCATCAAGAGCCAGACACAAGAGTCTCCAGGAACCACCAAGAGCCAGACACAAGAGTCTCCAGGAACCACCAAGAGCCTCCAGGAACCATCAAGAGCCAGACATAAGAGCCTCCAGGAACCACCAAGAGCCAGACATAAGAGCCTCCAGGAACCATCAAGAGCCAGACACAAGAGCCTCCAGGAACCACCAAGAGCCAGACACAAGAGCCTCCAGGAAACACCAAGAGCCAGACACAAGAGCCTCCAGGAAACACCAAGAGCCAGACATAAGAGCCTCCAGGAACCACCAAGAGCCAGACACAAGAGCCTCCAGGAACCACCAAGAGCCAGACACAAGAGCCTCCAGGAAACACCAAGAGCCAGACACAAGAGTCTCCAGGAACCACCAAGAGCCAGACATAAGAGCCTCCAGGAACCATCAAGAGCCAGACACAAGAGCCTCCAGGAACCACCAAGAGCCAGACACAAGAGCCTCCAGGAACCACCAAGAGCCAGACACAAGAGTCTCCAGGAACCACCAAGAGCCTCCAGGAACCACCAAGAGCCAGACATAAGAGCCTCCAGGAACCATCAAGAGCCAGACACAAGAGTCTCCAGGAACCACCAAGAGCCAGACACAAGAGTCTCCAGGAACCACCAAGAGCCAGACATAAGAGCCTCCAGGAACCATCAAGAGCCAGACATAAGAGCCTCCAGGAACCACCAAGAGCCAGACATAAGAGTCACCAGGAACCATCAAGTGCCAGACATAAGAGTCACCAGGAACCATCAAGAGCCAGACATAAGAGCCTCCTGGAACCATCAAGAGCCAGACATAAGAGCCTCCAGGAACCACCAAGAGCCAGACATAAGAGCATCCAGGAACCATCAAGAGCCAGACACAAGAGCCTCCAGGAACCACCAAGAGCCAGACACAAGAGCCTCCAGGAAACACCAAGAGCCAGACACAAGAGCCTCCAGGAACCATCAAGAGCCAGACACAAGAGCCTCCAGGAACCATCAAGAGCCAGACACAAGAGCCTCCAGGACCCATCAAGAGCCAGACACAAGAGCCTCCTGGAACCACCAAGAGCCAGACACAAGAGCCTCCTGGAACCACCAAGAGCCAGACATAAGAGCCTCCAGGAAACACCAAGAGCCAGACACAAGAGCCTCCAGGAACCATCAAGAGCCAGACACAAGAGCCTCCAGGAACCATCAAGAGCCAGACACAAGAGCCTCCAGGAACCATCAAGAGCCAGACACAAGAGCCTCCAGGACCCATCAAGAGCCAGACACAAGAGCCTCCTGGAACCACCAAGAGCCAGACACAAGAGCCTCCTGGAACCACCAAGAGCCAGACATAAGAGCCTCCTGGAACCACCAAGAGCCAGACACAAGAGCCTCCAGGAACCACCAAGAGCCAGACACAAGAGCCTCCAGGAACCACCAAGAGCCAGACACAAGAGCCTCCAGGAACCATCAAGAGCCAGACACAAGAGTCTCCAGGAACCATCAAGAGCCAGACACAAGAGTCTCCAGGAACCACCAAGAGCCTCCAGGACCCACCAAGAGCCAGACACAAGAGTCTCCAGGAACCACCAAGAGCCTCCAGGACCCACCAAGAGCCAGACATAAGAGCCTCCAGGAACCATCAAGAGCCAGACACAAGAGCCTCCAGGAACCACCAAGAGCCAGACACAAGAGTCTCCAGGAACCACCAAGAGCCTCCAGGAACCACCAAGAGCCAGACACAAGAGCCTCCAGGAACCATCAAGAGCCAGACACAAGAGCCTCCAGGAACCACCAAGAGCCAGACACAAGAGCCTCCAGGAACCATCAAGAGCCAGACACAAGAGCCTCCTGGAACCACCAAGAGCCAGACACAAGAGCCTCCAGGAACCATCAAGAGCCACACACAAGAGTCTCCAAGAAACACCAAGAGCCAGACACAAGAGCCTCCAGGAACCATCAAGAGCCAGACACAAGAGTCTCCAGGAACCACCAAGAGCCTCCAGGACCCACCAAGAGCCCAGGGTGTTCCAAGCAGCCGAGGGCCACTGAGAGCAGCTCCGGTTAATGACACCCATTGCTAGAGATGACTTATAACACACAAACATCTTTTGCGCTTCCTGTATAGTAGAAGAAAACGATCTTAACATTTTCTTGAGCCGCCAGAGAGCGTGGCAACACGCCAGAGTGGCAGCTGATGCCTCAAGACGGCCACGAAGGAGGTAATTGAGCACTTTAAGACGGCAAAGTTAACATGGGCGAGGCAGCCCTCCCGGACCAGGCATTATATAATACGTCTTTAATCTCTCTCTCTCTCTCCTCACCGTCACTTCGTTGACGACCAGCGGCTTCTCGAGCGGCTTTTCCGCCTTCTTCTCCGTCTTGGGCTTGGTGACTATGGTCATGTTTGCGGGGGATACGAACGGGGGAGGAGCGAGCGAGCGAGCGACACCACACCACAACACCTCAGTAACCACTACCAACTACGCTGCGATAATCAATACACCCATATAACCTCCCGAAGTCCCAAGCCCCAGGAGGATCCAACTCCATCCGTCGCTCGCCAGAAGCTTCTATAGCCGCAGCGGCGGTACTCGTACTATAGAGGATCTGATCCCCCTCGTCACTTATGGCGCGAGGGGGTGTTCGATCCTCCCTCGCGGGAGAGGGAGGAGAGGGTACCGGCGTCTATACTGACGTGCTGGTCTTCATGGTGACCCGCGTCTTGCTAGTAAATACAGGTGTCAATCATATGCTGCTGCTGCTGATGACGCTAGTTGATGCACCCTACTGGGGCATGATGGCATGGGCGGGGCATGATAGGCGGGGTACCGTCACCTGGGCATGACACGCGGGGTACCGTCAGCTGGGCATGCCAGAAGAAGTAGGATCAGCTGGACATGACAGTGTTGGATCAGCTGGGCATGATAAACAACGTAGGATCAGCTGGGCATGATAGTGTAGGATCAGCTGGACATACCAGGAGAAGTAGGATCAGCTGGGCATGACAATGTTAGGATCAGCTGGACATGACAGTGTAGGATCAGCTGGGCATGCCAGGAGAAGTAGGATCAGCTGGGCATGCCAGGAGAAGTAGGATCAGCTGGGCATGCCAGGAGAAGTAGGATCAGCTGGGCATGACAATGTTAGGATCAGCTGGACATGACAGTGTAGGATCAGCTGGACATGACAGTGTTGGATCAGCTGGGCATGCCAGGAGTAGGATCAGCTGGGCATGCCAGGAGAAGTAGGATCAGCTGGGCATGACAGTGTAGGATCATCTGGACATGACAATGTAGGATCAGCTGGACATAACAAACAGTGTAGGATCAGCGGGGCATGACAGTGTAGGATCAGCTGGACATGACAATGTAGGATCAGCTGGACATAACAAACAGTGTAGGATCAGCGGGGCATGACAGTGTAGGATCAGCTGGACATGACAATGTAGGATCAGCTGGACATGACAAACAGTGTAGGGTCAGCGAGGCATGACAGTGTAGGATCAGCTGGGCATGACAAACAGTGTAGGATCAGCGGGGCATGACAAGTGGGGGTATGACATGTGGGCACAATAAGCCAGGCATGACATATGACTTATTTATTTATTTATATATATATATACAAGAAGGTACAATGGGTGTATGAGAGTACAAAGCATTGGTGTGTTTACAATCTTGTAAAGCCGCTAGTACGCATAGCGTTTTGCGCAGGTCCTTAATCTAACAGATAATTTTAAGTAGGTAATTTGTAGCAAAATTTAAAAAAGATAACAGGTACATTGTAAGAATATTTGAAGAACATTAGTAAGTACATTATAGTGAAATTTGAAGATTATCAATAAGTTCATTGTAGCATAATTGGAGGATTATTTCTAGGTACATTGTAGTAAAATTTGTATTTAACATAATTATGATATAAGATGATGGCAGTGAATACAATGGTGATGTTGTATGGCTTAGTTGTATGGCTTAGTTGTATGGCTTGGTTGTATCGCTTGGTTGTATGGCATGGTTGTATGGCTTGGTTGTATCGCTTGGTTGTATGGCATGGTTGTATGGCTTGGTTGTATGGCTTAGTTGTATGGCTTAGTTGTATGGCTTAGTTGTATGGCTTGGTTGTATGACTTGGTTGTATGGCTTAGTTGTATGGCTTGGTTGTATGGCTTGGTTGAATGGTTTATTTGAATGGCTTGTTTGAATGGCTTGATTGTATGGCTTGGTTGTATGGCTTGGTTGTATGGCTTAGTTGTATGGCTTGGTTGTATGGCTTGGTTGTATGGCCTATTTGTATGGCTTAGTTGTATGGCCTAGTTGTACGGCTTAGTTGTATGGCTTGGCTGTATGGCTTGGTTGTATTGCTTGGTTGAATGGCTTGGTTGTATGGCTTGGTTGTATGGCTTAGTTGTATGGCTTGGCTGTATGGCTTGGCTGTATGGCTTGGTTGTATGGCCTAGTTGTATGGCTTGGTTGTATGGCTTGGTTGTATGGCTTAGTTGTATGGCTTGGTTGTATGGCTTAGTTGTATGGATTGGTTGTATGGCTTAGTTGTATGGCCTAGTTGTATGGCTTGGTTGTATGGCTTGGTTGTATGGCTTGGTTGTATGGCCTAGTTGTATGCCTTAGTTGTATGGTTTGGCTGTATGGCTTGATTGTATGGCCTTAGTTGTATGGCCTAGTTGTATGGCTTGGTTGTATGGCCTAGTTGTATGGCTTGGTTGTATGGCTTAGTTGTATGCCTTAGTTGTATGGCTTGGTTGTATGGCCTAGTTGTATGGCTTGGTTGTATGGCCTAGTTGTATGGCCTAGTTGTATGGCTTAGTTGTATGGCTTGGTTGTATGGCTTAGTTGTATGGCTTAGTTGTATGGCCTGGTTGTATGGCTTAGTTGTATGGCTTGGTTGTATGGCCTAGTTGCATATCTTAGTTGTATGGCTTGGTTGTATGGCTTGGTAGTATGGCCTAGTTGCATATCTTAGTTGTATGGCTTGGTTGTATGGCTTGGTAGTATGGCCTAGATGTATGGCTTAGTTGTATTGCTTAGTTGTATGGCTTGGTTGTATTGCTTAGTTGTATGGCTTAGTTGTATGGCCTGGTTGTATGGCTTGGTTGTATGGCTTGGTTGTATGGCTTGGTTGTATGGCTTGATTGTATGGCTTTGTTGTATGGCTTGGTTGTATGGCTTGGTTGTATGGCTTGGTTGTATGGCTTGGTTGTATGGCTTGGTTGTATGGCTTGGTTGTATGGCTTTGTTGTATGGCTTGGTTATATGACTTGGTTGTATGGCTTGGTTGTATGGCTTGGTTGTATGGCTTGGTTGTATGGCTTGGTTGTATGGCTTGGTTGTTTGGCTTGGTTGTATGGCTTGGTTGTATGGCTTGGTTGTATGGCTTGGTTGTATGGCCTAGTTGTATGGCTTGGTTGTATGGCTTGGTTGTATGGCTTGGTTGTATGGCCTAGTTGTATGGCCTAGTTGTATGGCTTGGTTGTATGGCTTGGTTGTATGGCCTAGTTGTATGGCCTAGTTGTATGGCTTAGTTCTATGGCTTGGTTGTATGGCCTAGTTGTATGGCCTAGTTGTATGGCTTAGTTCTATGGCTTAGTTCTATGGCTTGGTTATATGGCTCAGTTGTATGGCTTAGTTGTATGGCTTAGTTGTATGGCTCAGTTGTATGGCTTAGTTGTATGGCTTAGTTGTATGGCTTAGTTGTATGGCTTAGTTGTATGGCTTAGTTGTATGGCTTAGTTGTATGGCTTGGTTGTATGGCTTGGTTGTATGGCCAAGTTGTATGGCTTAGCTGTATGGCTTAGCTGTATAGCCAAGTTGTATGGCCAAGTTGTATGGCTTAGTTGTATGGCTTAGTTGTATGGCTTAGTTTTATGGCTTAGTTGTATGGCTTAGTTGTATGGCTTAGTTGTATGGCTTGGTTGTATGGCTTGGTTGTATGGCTTGGTTGTATGGCCAAGTTGTATGGCTTAGCTGTATGGCTTAGCTGTATAGCCAAGTTGTATGGCCAAGTTGTATGGCCAAGTTGTATGGCTTAGTTGTATGGCTTAGTTGTATGGCTTAGTTTTATGGCTTAGTTGTATGGCCTAGTTGTATGGCTTAGTTGTATGGCTTAGTTGTATGGATTAGTTTTATGACTTAGTTATATGGCTTAGTTGTATGGCTTAGTTGTATGGCTTAGTTGTATGACTTAGTTGTATGACTTAGTTGTATGGCTTAGTTGTATGGCTTGGTTGTATGGCTTGGTTGTATGGCTTGGTTGTATGGCCAAGTTGTATGGCTTAGCTGTATGGCTTAGCTGTGTAGCCAAGTTGTATGGCCAAGTTGTATGTCTTAGTTGTATGGCTTGGTTGTATGGCTTGCTTGTATGGCCAAGTTGTATGGCTTAGCTGTATGGCTTAGCTGTATAGCCAAGTTGTATGGCCAAGTTGTATGGCTTAGCTGTATAGCCAAGTTGTATGGCTCAGCTGTATGGCCCTAGTTGTATGGCTCAGCTGTATGGCCAAGTTGTATGGCCAAGTTGTATGGCTTAGCTGTATGGTCCTATTTGTATGGCCAAGTTGTATGGCCAAGTTGTATGGCTTAGCTGTATGGCCCTATTTGTATGGTTTAGCTGTATGACCAAGTTGTATGGCTTAGCTGTATGGCCCTATTTGTATGGTTTAGCTGTATGGCCAAGTTGTATGGCTTAGCTGTATGGCCCTATTTGTATGGTTTAGCTGTATGGCCAAGTTGTATGGCTTAGCTGTATGGCCCTATTTGTATGGTTTAGCTGTATGGCCAAGTTGTATGGCTTAGCTGTATGGCCCTATTTGTATGGTTTAGCTGTACGGCCAAGTTGTATGGCTTAGCTGTACGGCCAAGTTGTATGGCTTAGCTGTACGGCCAAGTTGTATGGCTTAGCTGTACGGCCAAGTTGTATGGCTTAGCTGTACGGCCAAGTTGTATGGCTTAGCTGTACGGCCAAGTTGTATGGCTTAGCTGTACGGCCAAGTTGTATGGCTTAGCTGTACGGCCAAGTTGTATGGCTTAGCTGTACGGCCAAGTTGTATGGCCTGTACACCAGTTGATTGATGGACGAGAGGCGGGACCAACGAGCCGAAGCTCAACCCCAGCAAGCACAATTACGTGACTTTAGGACAAAAAACATGTTATGTTTCCTCTCGCCATAGGATTATAACGGAACCTGCCCCCCCCCCCCCCCGTAAATACCTAAACATTGCCGAATTTCGAAATAAAATTATAAGGACAAATGGAGGGACGTCTTTTAATAATAATAATAATAATAATAATAATAATAATAATAATAATAATATATGTATTATATTATTATTATTATTATAATTATTATTATTAAAAATATGACCAACGGAGAAGCCTCACAGAAACTAACCGACCGAGTGAAAATTCGATTTAAAACTTGCTGTTCTTGTAAGGGCTACTACAGTATTAGCGGCTCTTAGGTAAATTCTGGTCAAAA